GGAATCCTCAACAACAACCTGGAAGGAAGGAAACTTGAGGCGTATCGCCCCAACAAACAATTAAGTTCCGGCGTCGGGATCCAAGGTTTAGGGACAGAAATGGCCAAAACCAGACCGCTGCCCTAACATTCCACAACCCTTAGAGGGGAAAAAAAAAGATATGCCTTCATGGCCTGCAAAGCCTCAGAAATCAAGCTAATATGTATCTACTGATCAACAAACAAAAAAGATATGGTTTCACGACCTGCAAAACCTCACAAACCAAAGTTAACCTAATATGTATCTACTGTTCAACAAAAAAAAAACAGCATAAACCACCAAATAAGAAAAGAACCTTCTGCCATCACGGCCCCCAAGACTCCAAACAAATTTCAAACACTGACACAAAACATGGTGGGCCACCTGGGACTAACAAGAAAGCCACCCTACCCTAATGTACTTCTATCTGCTCTGATCCTATCATGCATTACCTGTTTACGTGCTCTCACCTATGACGATGAGGGAAATCTCGTACCCCAAGATTACCGTATTTCATGTAGACGCTCCCTCCGTCCAAAACATGTTGCTTACCTACTGTGACCAGAACAATAACCAAGTGACTTAGGTTGGTAGTGACTTCACCCACTAAGAGAATAACCAATCGTCTATCGTCAGTTTACTATCGTCTGTGACTCGTGCCATCGTACCACGTAGGCACGAGGTATCCTTAAACCAGCTTAACCCCTTATGTTTATTTCCTACGTTTTGGACTTCTCTTCTCCAATCTGCTGAAATGGTCTGTCTCAGCCCATGATGGATTGCGATTCGAACTTGCTTGTTTGACCATTCGTTGCCCTCAAACACCTTGTCATTACGTTCTTTCCATATGACTGAGCAGATCACCGCCCTTGCCACTTGTGCCACATATCCCCATCCCTTCTCTGTGGGGAGAGTATTAGGAACTCCTCCCAGGAGGCTCCATATCTTATCCCATGGAAAAATCTTTCCATTATTGAAACCGCGAAGTTTGGGACCCACAACCGTTCAAATTCGAACGGACTGCTGTCGTGTGGAGGTGGAGACCCGGGCTTCCAGTCCGCAGCCACTCCACAGCGTCTGCCCCGGACCACAGGTCTCCGATGCGAAACGTGCGGGTAAGCGGCCGCCATCTCCCTCTTCCTCCCCTCTTCCCCCTCCCCCACTGTCTTCCTCCTCCACTTGCCCTCTTCCTCCATCTGCCCTCTTCCTCTACCTGCCCTCTTCCTCCTATGCGTCTTCCCCCATTATGGTTTTCCTCCTCTTCCTASCGCCTTCCCCCTGCCGTCGCCCTCTCCTCCTCCACATGYCCTCTTCCTCCTCCGAGTCGTTGTCATCGCCTCCACTTGCCCTCTTCCCCAGTATGTCGTTTATCTATCTCTCCTCTGTCACTCGTTCTGTCGGCTCCTTGCAGCCCCCATCGACCACATCTCTCTCTCTCTCTCTCTCTCTCTCTCTCTCTCTCTCTCTCTCTCTCTCTCTCTCTCTCTCTCTCTCTCTC